TCAGGCCCCCCATCACACCCTAATGGGAGACACTTTGGACGTGTTTTTTCCCTGATCCGCACATGCATCTCCTACTGAAGTCAGTGAGAGCCCTGTTTATGCTTCTCCAGGAAGAATTTCACCATAATGTGTAACTACATTGAGCATGAAACAAATCCATCTTATTGATACTGGATGACTGGAAAAATGCCCTAAGTATTTTTAGACGGCAACCTGGAGGACACGCCAGATCCCTGGGTTTACCGTGGCTCAGCTCAAATTTATGAAGCAGGAGTCTGGCAAGAAGAACAAAAGCATGTGGACACAGCTATTGCACATCTCATGATCAGTTCTTAAATGGAAAAAGGGATGAGATACCTGAGCTTGGAATAAAGCTGTTCCACAGTCAAGGGAATCCACAAAGCGATTGGGTCTTGAAATGTTTCAAGCAGTAAGATAACATGAAACTACCACTTTAACCCTACACAACTAGATATTACATCACCAATACTATAAGAAGTGCAATTTTTTTTGAGTTTACTGAGCAAGAGAATCCTTGTTTCATTTATTCAAAACAAATTATAATGTAAAAAAAACACCAAACAGACCAGCAATTAAGAGGAGGAACAAAGAGGATGAACAAATTTCCCACTCATGGACCCAGAACTGTGTTGGATAGAGCATGGCACAGAAGCAGTCTCAGGTGAGGAACCAACCAGTGCATGCTTGCCACTTGGATTATCCAGCACTTAAGATGAAAAGTTTAATTGCTGCATAAAATTAAGAGGGGATGTTCTAGTTTATGTCTCTAGACTAGCTGATAATACACTGTTGGTGTTTCCACAACCTTAGAAACATGCAGATACACATTTAAAGAGTGGCTTAGATCTGCAGAAACTTTAAAAATGTGCCTGAGGATTCCCATTCTAAAAGGAAAGGTATTAGGCAGAAAAAAACATGAAGAACTGCAAAAGGAAAAATATCAATGGAAGAATAGCAAAAGCCTTCCTGATGAGATCAGTTTAACTACAGAAGGAGTAAAATCACTATCAGTGGATACATATAATATTTTACTAGACTGCCATAGATGTCTTGCATCCTCTCTCACAACCTTTTCTGGTTAAAGCTGCATTACCCTGTTCCAGGTGCACTTGAAATACTCCACATGAAATGCATTTGCTTAAACATGGTTTTATTATGATTAAAGGAGCAAAAGAATACATCTGCAAGACCCATTACATATGGATAGACCAAAACCAAATTTGTATAGAGACATGCCGTATTTCATCATGACAATTACAGAAGGAGAAATAGGAATTGTAAGATTTCTATAATGCATCTTTAGAAAGTGAGGAAGAGTCTTACAGTATCAGGAGCACAAAGAAAAAGCAATTGCATTCTGAGAGTAGGAGGGGTTGGTGACAGTTTAAAGTGGGAGCATTCTAATGACTAATTCCAGAGAAGTCACCACAAAGCTTGGCCATAGACAAATATGGCTTAATTTCAATGTTGCAATTTTTTCCGTAACATTTCTCCTGATAAATGTGGTTATGTTTTTTTCGGTGTGATGATTCAGGACTATTATTTTTAACTTGCACTAGGAACATCTTTGTTCATACTCATGCTTTCTTGGGTTCAATCTTTGTTCCCTTGACTCTTAATCCATGAGTAAGCAGTATTACTCTGCAGAAAAGAAAGGCAAAGGACCCTCTCTTTCCTTTTCTCATTTTTTTTTTTTAAATAAAGCCTTCTGGTTTTAGAAAATATGGATGAAAGAGAGAGTATGCTTTTTTTTTTTTATCCTTCATACTGCAGCATTTTGGGTCTTGCTGTAAGTGACAGAAATTCTTTCAGATTTCTTCTCTTTAAGGGGAAATGCATCTGCCAAAGAAGAGGATGCTGTTGGTTGGTTTGTGCTTGATCATGAAGAGGAAAGGGTGGTCAACCTTAAACTCTCCAAAGACACTTGTAGCTTCCATCCCATCTCCTGTTATGCCTGACGCCTCACTGCCTGCTTCATAGATTTCCACAGATGCCTCATGGACAGCTTCAGACATTTTCAGGCTCTTTGTTGAGGAGATGCCAGAGAGATTGGCTGATGAGCTGAACAGGTCGGTGATACCCAAGCTCATTAAGATAGATGTAAGGTTATATTTTTCTTCAATCTTCATGCGGGGGAGATACACTTTAATTTTCTTCTCCTCCATCACACTAGAACTGGTCCACTCCGTGAGTTTTTCATAGCTGATTTTCTTCTCAAGCTGCAATGAGAAAAGCAAATGAGATCTCTGGGATGAGGGCACGACTTCCTTTGTGCTCTGGCAGGGGGGCTGGACTAGATGATCTTCTGAGGTCCCTTCCAACCCTTAACATTCTGTGATTCTGTGATTCTGTAATGCAGTACCAGTGATGTTTTTTTTCTCTTTTAAACTGACGGCTCTTGGCATGACAATTTTCAAGGTATATACAAATAAATGTGTCTAGGAGAAGAAAGCGAACTGTGACTCTCTCTTCTCTGCTCTGTCCTGCTTTCTATTTCTTTAATAGGCTCACTGCCAGTTAATTTTCCTAATAAGGTAGCTACTCGACAGATTTCACCTAAAGGTTTTTCCTGTTTATCTTCTTCACTTGGGAAACATATTCCAAAAATCATTCTGTACTTTTGAGTTGTAAGCTCTTTCTACATTTAAGACCTCCAACTAACCCAGTGTTAATGGCAAACAATTACTAATACCTGAACTATCAATTATGACTGAAGAAACTTAGCTTCATTTTTATAATTTAGATGCTTTGAGCTAGTGTACAAAAATTTCAGTGAACTCTCCTCTATTACATAACTTTTCCTATTCAGATTAACTACGGTCCAGGTAATGACAATATCCCATGCCTGCATTCTGTTCAATTCAACAATAGTATGTCTTGTACATTTTATTTTCTGAAATTGCAGTACCCCTCATATTCAGTTTTTAGATAGTTTAATTTGTAAAGGTATGAAGGAAAGATGTTGAGCACTGCCAAACCAAACAATAATTACAACTAGTAAAGCTAACATGAATCTTCCCAGGAAGCTCCTCAGTGTGCAGGAATGGAGATATAAAACCTTTGGAGTTCAAGCTGCTGAAGTAAAAGCTGCTTAGCTGAAAAGAGTCTGTTCTGCAGCAATCAATATTTAAACCACTAAAGAAATCCATGCTCAGCATGAACTATTCCAAGACCACTGAGATAGCTGCATGCTTCTGTGTAACTATCCCAGGTTGCCAGTGTTCAGGTCTGTACTGATGAAGTGTTTTAGGATATTGGGAAGGGTTTTAAAGCACCTAAATTTCACTATTTATATTTTTCTAAAACCCAACTCCCAGGGTCGTACCTGCTCCAGGCCAGAGACATCATCAGGCAACAGCACCAACATGCTCAGCTGCTCGCTGGCATATGGAAGCTCCAGGATCTTAATTTTCTCTGCAGCTATAGCTGCCACTTTAAATGAACCAATCTGATACATCATCTGCACAGGCTTGCTTTCTTGCTGCAAAACCAAGTAAGATAAATTAGTTTTCACAAAAAAAGATCTTACAGTTAAAACTCCTGATTGATTTTGTTCAGGAAGATTGTATAACCACTTGTCTACTTCCTTCACAAATTCTAGAAGATGAGACATTTAAGGTGAGTATGCCCGTGTACCTCAGTGACTCTGAATGGCACTGCCTGGGTGTCTTCATCCTTAAAAGATTTCTCCCACAATCCTTTGAAGTAAATGGCACTGACAAGGACCATTTTGGTCTGGGGATCCACAGAGCTTGGTTGAAGAATATTTTTTATTTTTCCTTTCATAGGAAAAGAGAACACATGCATATATTACATCTCTGTATAGCATCTTACTTGGCAATCACAGCATTAGATGAAGGGTATAGAATTTGTGGGGAGGCAGGTTTAGGGCAGGGACATTGTTTTGCTTTTGCGGCTGTAATCTTGTACTTCTGAGGTTGATTTTCTCACTGCTGTTGGTAATAGCAGTTGCTTCCCTCTCTGTAAAGAACTGTAATGAGAGATGTAAGACCCAGATAATTACGTGATACAAAATGAATAAGCCTCTAGTATTTTGTGAGAATGGGAAGAACCATTGGAACCAGGATGGTCTCCAACCCAAACAGTAAGTATAAATACTTCATGCTTCAAATTGAAGTTGGAAGAAGATGTCTATATAAGGAGGGCAGCAGGAAATAAAACCAGAATTTTACTCTGCTTTCTTCTATCCTGTGGTCTTATTTAGTCTGCAGTCCTCATGCACATGACAAGCCTCTCCCTTAGCCCTTTCCCACCAGTAGCTTAGTCATGTTCTGGTTTTTCCCTTCAAAGTATGACATCACATCAGAAGTTGTGTGATTGTGAGTATCTTTGTTTTGGTTAAAATTCAGCACATTTATCTGTGTTTGCTGTTCCAGCCATGTGTTTCAAGCATGGAGGAAGGGAATGTTTTGAAGGTGCCAAGAAGAAACTGGAAGAATGGAAGAACAACATGTAAACGGAGTAGAGTAAAAATCACAACAGTGCTATGCCTCATTTTTATGCATTTATATTCCTCCCTACCATTCCTTAACTCTGTGATTTTCCATTGCCCTTTACCTGTTAAGATTTCTCAAGTACCTTATTACTGCATGCCTTACTCAACAGTTACACAACAACTCTGGGAAGCTTGAAGGCAAAGTAGACTGATCAAAGGATATCCAGATTCTCAGCATCAGTGTAAAACCACTTGTCAATGTGAACAAGGCATATTCTAGTGCCATCCCTTTCATCAAGACTGGAAATATTACAGACCCAAAAAGCCCCTAAGATACAGAGTTCTCTAAAAGGGATGTGTCTGAGGAATTTAAAAATAATAATAAATAAATAAATCATTAAATGATAGTTCAATATCTAGGAACTGATCTGTTTTCCAGGAGAAGGAACAGAGGAAGAGGTTTTGGTTTTTTGTCTTCTTAAACGTTCTCCTATGCTGTTCAGACATGGTGGCAGAAGGGAAAAGACCTGTGCTGATACTTGGCTTGCTCTTACCATCTGTCTGACTTTCAACCCAGGAATTGATGATCTCTCTGGCTTGATCTGCAGCTGTTTGAAAGCTGATAGTTTCCAAACCTCCTTTATACAGTTCCTTTACACATTGCAAGTATTCCTGCAAAGGAAGAGTATGCAGTTTTCAGATCAGAATGTCAAAGCATTTTGCAAATGTGAAATGCAAGATTAAAATTAACAGTTATGAATAATCTGCCTATTAAGGTTAATCAGCAAGCCATTATTCTAGCTCATAAGCATCTTAAGATTTGGCATGCATTGTTCAAGCAAGAATATTTGTTCATGGTTTTTTAAGATATTTTCCAAAACTGAGTACCATCAAAAAATGGCATTCATTTCAGCTAAATATGGTTCGATTTTTCAGATTTTGCCCACTTTTTAACTTTCTATTTTGCGATGGTATTCTCCTTTAATTTCAAATTGAATGTTTCTTTCAGTGGTGAAACTTTGAATATTTTCAAAAAAACTGAAGTTATTTTTCAGGTTTGTTTTACAAGTTGAAAAACCAGTTAACTCTTTCTAACAAAAGCTACCTTTATTAATTATACCTTGATATATGATTGTACTATGCACAAACGTTGTTTTGGCTAGGCACATTTTCTCCAACAATGTAGTGAGCTAGTGCTGTAATACAGAAAAGTCATGAATCCTGTCTTCTATATGGAAAAAAAATTTCTTTAGCAGAACCGCAACTTCTGACAGAGCTTTTACATTATACAATGGTACAGCTTTGACATGGAAATACACTCAGAACAGATCTTAGAGCAACTCACCGGAAGGATTGGGTATGTCTCTTCAGCATAAAGTCTATTGACAAAGCTGAGTGAATAATTGTCACTTCGTTTGGCGATTTGGGCGAAGACGTCTTTAAGTGAAATGTGGGCGCCTACAGGTGTGCCACACTGAATCATTGGCATGAATACAAATAAAAACATATTTTAAGTAGGTTTTTCAGAATAGAGTAGTTCAGACAATTATGCTTACAAAACTGTTGTTCATCCTATACGTCTTGTTGCTGTCACTACACTGATGTAGTAATTTTCTAATAAATACAGTTCTGTGCTGTTTTTCTACTGCAATTTCCTCATACCTCTCTCAGGGGGACTCATAATTGCCTGCTACAATAACACAGCTCCAGCGGGTTGGGTAGGCTTTCCATCATTCCCAGCCAGTCCCATTTAATCAGTTACATCCATCTACTTTTCCTAAGCATACAAATATCTATAATTTTCCCTATTTGCCCAATGTTATGGTGCTGGGTTTCATCTTATGCTTGTTCTGAATATTCTGTTGCTTCCCTTATGTCTCTGTTCTTACAAACAAAGCTTTCCCCTAACTGGTGAATGCAGAGCGCTACGCTGATCATTGGAGAGGGGGCTTGGAACTGCTTTATCTGCTAGTCTTTACTCCCAGGAGAAAGTGATGTAGGGAAGGAGGTTAAATTATTTGTGTACCTGAGATTCAACAGCCTCTGAAGATCCTGTGATTTTATCAAAAGGTATAACCTGTAATTGAAAATAACAGTAGTTGAAATAACAGATATTACAAAAACATGCTATCAACTGAGATTAACACATAGTGTTTGAAGTAAACCTATTGGCTAACTCAGATGGATGACTTAAATGGTGTAATGCGCTTGTACCATCTGTGAATAGTTGTACCTGCTGTTGCCTGTTTAGATGATCTCTTTTTCTATTGAGCATCTAGATATCATCTCCAGTAATACTAATTTTCCTCTGGCCACTCTATGATGGAAGTGAGAGCTCTAGGAAACTCATGTCAAACATTGTGTAGTCTGGATGCGTGTTTTGACTCTTTCTCTGGAGATTTTATCTACTTGCCTTACTCTAAACAAAGGAGCACTGGAATGTGGTGTTGTCTTTGAGAGATGACAAAATTTACATCCATTTTCAAGATTTCTGTCTGATGCAGTCATTTAACACTGGGAGTTTGAAGTGGCTGCAACTTTTAGTTACTCTGGATCCAGATTTTTTAGCTTCCGAGCTATGCAAAGGATATTATCATATAATTAAGTCCTATAGCTCTACTAAACCACAGGAAGGTTTAGATCCTTAAAAGTGTAGCCTCACCTTATCTATTTGAGCCCTGGTGTTTTCTCTTGCACCCAGGTAGACCAGGGATAGAGCTGAAACGATGACCATAGGGGAGTAGAAGATGTTTTCATTGACATGCTGGACTTTCAGCTCCTTGAATATGTCAAGACAAAATTCCCCGCTTGCTGCACTGATGGAGCCCATTGTAAAACCAGTATTGTCTAAAGAAAATAGCAGAAATACAATGATAATGGGATGATAAAATACCACATAAACACAGCAGGATGCACTTTAGTAGTAGTTTTTAGGCAATGAAATATAAACAAGTAGTTCTGAAGTCATTCTGTGGTAACATGCCTATTGCTCTGCTCACCTCTCATGGACGTTAAAATCTGTATTCATTCCTTTCTGCATTTGTATTCAGTTGCTTTTTTTTGACAGTGAAGTTCCTCAAAGTTCGTCAACCTGTATGTGATTTCTGTTTACCTTTTCAAAGCAGTCACACAATTACCCGTACTTATTTTCATTCAGTGAAGGCTAGAATTCCGTAGTACTTTGTAGTGCCTTTGATGAAAAAAGTAATATGATCTCTCTTTGATATACTTGCAAAGCTGAAAATTTAAACTGCAAATTTTAGTAGACTTTTGGTTTGGACAGTTATCAGTAATAGCAGAGGCTGGCTGACTATTTTTGTTTTCCAAAAATAAATGAGTGCAGGAAAATATCTATTTGTTGCACGGTATGTACCGCCAGTAGCTCTTCCAATGCTTATAGATTTACCCTTGTTTTGGTAATAGAAGCATGGATAGGCAGTATGATTTGTCTAAGGTCACCTAGTTTAGAAGAGAGACTGATGCACAAAATTCATATTCCAACTTATTGTGCTTTCAGATATAACTTTCTTTGCTTAAATATATCTATATATACTACATTATAAGCTTTCAGAGAATTTAGATGTTGTTAATGACGTTCGGATGGAATAGAAATGAAAACGTGATAAAGTAGCAATGTCTACCATAATACAAAATTATTAAATGAATATTGGTGGCATAGACTAGTAAAAGATTTATATTTATTTCTGTCTGAGGCTGCTATAAAGTACTGGGTAGTTAGCCACTGTAATTATATGAAGCACAACTTTTGAGGTCAGCATGCATTTAGTTTCCTTCCTGTGGTTTATACAAGTTGTGGAAGTTTGTTGTCTTTCAAAATCCAGCCCCTTATGCAGGTGCTTAATTCTGAGATCTCAAGTTTGTCTTTGGAGTGTTAAATCCCACCAAAGTTTGTAGTCGCTGCCTTGTGAGCATACGTATAGGCTTGCACACACGTTTCTCTCACTTTCCTTTCTGTATACAAATTCACATTTATAGGTTACTGTAAAATATAAGTCTGTATACCTACCCACGTTTTTATCTTGTTTAGTGCTCTTCAGCTGTATTTTCAAGGGTTGCAACCGTTAGAGAGAAATTTCACACCGAGACAAACCTAGCAAATTCACTGAATGCTACAGTTTTGCTCTCAGTGCACTCTGTTGAACTGAATGTCAATCAAGTGAACCTACTGTTTGGTTGCCAAAATCAAACTTAAAAAATACTGAATAGGAGGATAAGCTGCTCTGAAATAAAATCATATTTATGCACAAAGTAATATTTTAAGCACAAAGAATAAACTTTTAAAAAGTCTCCTGAAAGCTCAGGCTTTACACATAAATAATAATAAA